GGACCACAATTCAATTACACTGATTTACAGAACAAACCAAAAAAATCCTTGTAGCTCAGGACATACATCACCTATCTGACAGGGCGAGTCTATTAATGCCCATGTAAGCCTCTATCCATGATACATAGATCCTGCCCTGTTCCTTTTTTCCTGTGTTCATTCACGGCTGCAGTGCTGAGTAAAGAAGGACTCTGAAATGCATGGCTCTGGAAACTGAGAATATGAAATGCAAGTATACAGAGACAAAGATGCATAGTGTACAAGTTACCAAAACAATTCACGGTGTTGAAGAGTGGAAAGTGCATGACTGTAGGGCATGCGTTGTCTCCTCGGAAGACGTAGCAATCAGAAGGGTTGTCCTTATCCATTTTCTTATCTTCTATCTTGGGAAACGGAATATGGTTTTTCTGGCAGTATATAGCTGTTGCCTTGATAGTCTGAGACACAGAGAAATTGTATGCATTTTTTAGTGGGTTTGCTTGTTTTTTGATCTCTTAGAATAAACCTATCCTCTCTCCAGGAATAACATTAATTGCTACAGAACAATGACGATCAGTTTCTTAGGTTCTACTTAATTATAGTTTACTATATTTAAAATCCTAAGTTTTCCTCAAGCATTCTCTGAGGAACAGGCTAAGTCTAGAATATAAATGAAAATCAAACACTCCTGGGGTCACTCCTAGCAAGAACCTTTGTTTAACAAATTACAGCTGTACCCAGAAAGGCCATGATGCTGATGCTGAAAGACACCCAAATGAAAAGGATTTGGCATCTATAAAATAGTCTGAAGACATCACCAGGTTAACAGACTTTCAAAAGAAATTTTGCTTTCCAAAGCAACCCATCCTGTTGCTCTACCACTCAAAATTAAAAACTCACTACGTGTCACTTATGTCGATCTGCCATCAAAGGGAGACACTAACCCACTTGATTGAAGGCACACATTAACTTTAATGTTGGCTGTATTTTGCATGAAAGCATTGACTGGGGTAGGCGTTTGTTGGGTGCTTGCACAAACTGAGATTTCTGTGGTCTGAGAAATATTACTCCCAACTGTTCAGGAGTTGAGGAGAAGAAACAACCTTTGAGTCTTTTTCACTCTTCTCTGAATGGGTTTGCAGTATTCTGCTCTAGACGGCACAAGGGTTGTGAACAGCAGCCACCTTACGCAAGCTTCCCAGAGTAACTGGGATCTTACACAATTCATTCCAACAACCTCTCTGCAAAGAATGCACTTCACAATCAAAGATGGGGCCTTAAGGCACTCAGAACATGACTAGTCTCTCCCATAGACAGGCACTTACTGACACCTTGGTATTTCTGTCACTCCACTGAATTGCCTTGGGGGTTAGATTCTCAGGATTTGTCCCTTTAATCACTATTGGGAAAAGATGGAGCTGTAGCTAAAGACATGATGACTCTTATAGTCATAAAAGACAATCAAACTTCTCATAACATTTTCCTGGAATGGTATGAAATAGTGGCAACATTTGGAAAGCCTAGCAAGGGCTTTTTTAACTCAAGCTCCCCAAAATTCATCCCCTATGCGTATATGTTTAAATGGGAGGAATTACAGAAACAATACTATACATTTGCCCTCATTTGTAATGAAATTTCATAGAATCATAGAATGGTTTGGGTTGCAAGAGACCTTACAGATTAGCTAGTTCCAACCCCTGTGCTATGGACAGGGACACGTTCCACTAGACCAGGATGCTCAAAGTCCCATCCAACTTGGCCTTGAACGCTTCCAGGAATGGAGCATCCACAACTTCCCTGGGCAACCTGTGCCAGTGTCTCACCACCCTCACAGTCAAGAATTTCTTCCTAAAATCCAGTCTAAACCTACACTCCTTAAGTTTATAACCATTACCCCTTGTCCTGTCACTACACTCCCTGATAAAGAGTCCCTCGCCATCTTTCCTGTAGGCCCCCTTTAAGTACTGAAAGGCGGCAATAAGGTCTCCCTGGAGCCTTCTCTTCTCTGGGATGAACAACCCCAACTCTCTCAGGCTGTTCTTATAGGATAGGTGCTCCAGCCCTCTGATCATCCTTGTGGCCTCCTCTGGACTTGCTTGAACAGGTCCATGTCCCTCTTGTGTTGGGGGCCCCAGAGAGGGACACTGCACTCCAGGTGGGGTCTCATGAGAGAGGAGTAGAGGGGGAGAATCACCTCCCTTGACCTGCTGGTCATGCTCTTTTTGATGTAGCCCAGGATATGGTTGTCTTTCTGGGCTGCGAGTGCACATTGCTGGGTCATGTTGAGCTTGTTTGTAAAAGGAAAAATGAAATTGAGTATATTAGGAAGAAAAAGCCTACACAAAGGGAAACTGAGCAAAATTCTTACAGATACTCATATGAGATCTCCTCAAAGGGAAAAGATCTATTTTGCTGTAAATACTGTCTGTCAAAAAGTGTTTTGCCTTCTGGTAAGGGCTTCTCTTACCTCTAATAAAGGTTTTTGCTCTTCTTCCCTGGAGTATTAGATTTTCCAACCCCCTTTCCCTTTATTCTTGCTGAGGTGTGAGTTGGTAAGGACCAGATCCTTCCCATGGGCCCGTGAGCTACATCAAATCTCAGACCTGAGCCTTCAACCTCTACATGAGCTATGTCCTAGGTGCAATGGTCTCCTGCTCAGCCACAGTCATGCCTGTGCCTTGGCTCTCTAGATCTGAGCCTTGACCCAAAGGATGACTTCCCAGCTTGGAATGGTGTCATCACTATGGACCTGCCCAGCAATCACTGGCCTGGTTACCCTCAGCACGCCTGATCCTTACCTGCCACCAGCCCTCACCTGCATTGACTTCCTGAATTGACCTTGGACCTGCCTCATCACAACAGACTTGCATGATGATTCCAAGCCTTGGTTGAACCCGACTGCCATCTGCCTGCCCTGCTTGTCTCACTAGGAACCTGTGAAACTGGGTGCTGGCTGGCAAGGCCCTGCCCTGCCTGCTCTGTTATCGCGCCTGGCTCCCTCTCACTTAGGGGCAGCTGTCCCTTGACAGTTAGCCTAGGCCTTCCTGAGCCCTGTGCCAAGCACCAAGGAGCCTGGCCCACCCATGTGCAGGACCCTGCTGCTATGACTCCCCTTGAGGGGCAAGCCTGACCCTGGGCTTTGATATCCCCACAGTGCCAACCTCCTACCCATTCCCAGGCTCCTGATCCTTCCTCAAGCCTTCCAGCCCTCCAAGGCTTGCCAGGAGCAGCTCAGAGAACCCCCTGCACCACCCTCTTTGCTCCCAATCCAGGCTGGACCCCAGCCTGAACAACCCTACCCAACCCCAAATCTCTCATGCGATATCCCCTTCTCAGTTGCCAGACCTTGCCCTGGCTCTGTGTCCCTTGAAATAGACCACTGACAACCACAGCAGTGAAATCACTCTCCAGCAAAGCCCTTCTGACCCTGGACCTCCCAAGAATGAGGACACACTTTACTGGGTTGGAAGGCAGGGTCCTGAATGCACTAATAGGCCTTAATGGTCCTGGAGCCTTCTCCCATACCCTTCCCATTGGCCCAGGGGCATCACTGATGTTGTGCAAGTATCAGTGTTCAGCTCAGCCACAGATATGTCTAGGCATGGACTCCATTGATCCACACCCCAACCCATGGACTGACTTTCCAGATTGACCCTGGACCTGCCTTTTCATCATGGACTTGCCTGATAATCTGGACACATGATTGACCCTGTCTGCCATCCTCGGACCTGCTTGTCTCTCTCAGATGCTGCCGTGCTGGACCCTGGCTGGTGAGGCCCCTGCCATGCTGGTCTTGTAATTGAGCCTGAATCCCTGTCCCTTAGGGAGGAGCTGGCCCTCAGTGCTCCCTGACAATCTGATTTGTAGTCAAACGGGAGTGGGCACTTGAAGAGATCAGTTAATCTCTTTTCAATGCCATCTGTAAGATGCCCAAAAGGAGCCAGAGCCTCTGGATGCAGCTGCCTCCACTTTCCCTAAAGCTACCACACTGAAAATACACAGAGAAGCATCAATTTGAGATATCCTAGCACATTTTAAATTCTTATGAGACACTAAACATCAGCAACTTGAATCATCCTCCAAAAGAAATTCCAAATCAAACACTATGTTTGGAAGGAAAACAAACTACAGCAAGGAATGGCGATAATTCTGTATGGTGTCCTTCCCCAACCTAGCTCCTCTGACAATATGGAAGAATTCAGTGTCAACAGCACATTTCCTCATCCTACTCACCAGGATGACCTCATCTGACCTCTTAAATGAAAGTCATCAACTGTCCTTAAGGAAGGAGTAATATCACTTGCACACAGAAAAATTATCATCCCTGAGGAAGATATGGAGGCTAAGAAATTTGTGAGCTTTTCCCCTGCTGCCCTGATGCACCCTTGGTAGCCTGACAACTTGATAACCTTTGGTAGGTTGCCATACAATACCTGTGAACAAGACAGACAAAATGACTCACATTCTATAAGTATCCATTTCTGCCAACTACCTGAAAAAGAAGCCCAAACAATGTGATGATCAGTGTACCAACCTGTCAGAGTCTGTTCAGACATTTCTTTGAAAATTGTTTTGGCAACATGTGGGAAGATAATGGAAGATTGGCGAGGAGGATTGTAAACACGCTCAAGTGATGTGCACCTGGGGTGCTGGACAACACATATATCACACTAATTGTTGTTCAGCCTTGTGTGCTTGCAAGTGGAACATCTGCACTTAGATAACGTAAGCCTGGGATGGACTCAGGGGCACCTTATCTAGCATATATGATATCACTGCCTTGTTGTTGAAGAAGATCAAAGCACAGTGGAAAACTACGCCTGCTTGAACCCTTGAAAAGTGGGCGAGAAAAGCAAGTTGGAGCTCACACGATCCTGCTAACAAGGACTTTCTCCTGCTCTGTGATGCCTGCATGCCCTGCTCGTGTTCGTCTGCTGGGGTGTTGCTTCAGAGACTCCCCAATTTGTGAGGTACTGAGATTCAATTTGTTCTTTGTCTTTCATCTGTGGTTTTGTGGTTGTTCTTGCATTCTGCCTGAGTCAACTCACACACAATGATTTTAATGCATTTCTGTAGTTTCCAACGCGATGACCCCAAAGGAGGTTCTCCAAAGCCATAGCCACACATATACCTCAAAAGGATCTCCAGCACTGAAATCAAAGGAAATTATCAGATCTGCTCGACGCTGTGCTCGAAGGACCAGAGGATAGGCAGAATTTATTGCCAGGCCAGCATCAATCAAAGAGATGGTTTTGGTTTTGACCAGGTAAGGGGACTGAATGTCACCTAATCCAATGAAAAAAAGCAATGAGATTTCATAAAGACATATATAAATATATACATAGAGATACATGTGACCAGAGCCCAAAAAGCTCATTGGTCTTCACCGATGATGCACCCCCAAAATGTACTGAAACCTGCCTCTCCTTGCCTCTCCTGCCCAACCAGATGTCCTACTGTATTCTGACAGGAATCCAAATCCCCCTGACCTACCTCTCTCTCTGATTGTGGTCAGTTGCAGACCAGAATTCCTGATGGGCTTTCTGAAGGTCAAGATATCACACCCCTAGAACTATGCACCCGTAGTTTTAAGATAAGAAGATCTTTGAGCAGAAAAATGAACGCCTGAGCCAGCTAGAGATCCTGACACCTAACTGTAGTTGTCTAAATGCAGGTTTCTACTTAGACGCTAGGTGCCAAAGCTTCCATGATCATAAGTAAACACGCAGCTAGGGCAGGCAATGGAATCTAGAGACCAATGTTACTGCTCATGCATCAGGACCACAACTCAATTTAATAAACATAGATGTCCTGTTCCAACTCCTTAATTTAATTCTTGTGTCCTCCAGGTTCTCCTCCAAAAGGGCACAGGGGTCCTACAGGTTTTATTTTGTGTCTTCCAAGTTAATGTTGTCCCTTCTACTCATGGGCAGTTTGTGTGACATTAGATGCCTGTGTTTATGTGACAGAATTGAGCTTATGTATCCACAATGCTATTGCAGATCTGGATTCCTGTAGTGTGAAATAATTCTGTTTATGACTAGTCTATTTGCTGCTCACAATGGGATGCTGTTAAAAGAGGGTTCATCCTGGAAAGGAAAGCTATTTATCTCTCTGTTTTAAGAAGGTAAATGTCAAAGGCAGTTTTCTTGGTTTAATGTCACACAAACACAGCTTAAAAGCTCTGCTAAATCCCATGCACTCTGCCCCATAGATCTAGTTGGCTAACATAACCACTCTGTGTTTTCTGGGTATAAACAAATCATGATTTAATTGGATTTTCTTACGGCAGTTGTAAAGGAAGTTATTAGTCGTTCCCCATTGCCAGGTCAATGCACATTGGATTGTTTTATACACCATGATACAGACATCTCGCACCGAGCCTGGGAAGAGATAATAAATTCAGAACATAGTTGAATCTAGAGAACTTCACTTTTTGACTGGTGCAACAAAGTCTGGCGGAGGTGTGTATACGCAGATAGCGTACAAAGAGCCTGAGGGCCAAGGCCTGAGTGTGTCAGAAGAGAAAGGGCCATACTTTCCACTAGTTCAAATAGTTAACATTAAGCAATGGAATGTTAGTACAGCTGAAACAGATTTGAATAAGCCACTGAAGGCACGAAGTGTACAGGACTTATGCCCTACACCAGCTGGCACATTCACCATGCTTGAGGATCACAGGCTCTGAAGTGGACCAGTTACACCAGTGCTGTACAACAGTGATGCCTGAACTTTTCTGGGCCTCTTACAGCACTCTCATGGATCAGAGGGACTCTTGTTTCTCTTCATCTTCTTTCCAGCTGAAAATACCCCAAGTGAAATGAGAGCCATGCTACAGCCCAGTAGAATCACCTGTATGAGGTGAGGGATATTAGCTGAAAGCCATGAGAAAACCCAGAGATTGTGTGAGAGAATATGAGAAGATCAGCCCAGTGAAAGAATTTGGAGGACTGTACTGTGAAGACAGAGGCAATCCAGGCCTTTTCTGTGAACACACTCCTTGGAAGAGGCATTAGAGAGAAAAATTACCTTTCTGCAACATCCAGATTTCATGTCAGAGCACCAGTTGGTTCACACCAGAAGGAACTGGCCAAAAACTGCCCACACATCACTCTGGCTGATAAAACTAGCAAGAGCCCTGGATCTAAACAGGTAATGTACCAGCTAAACATTGCAAATGTGCTTGAGGAATTTCAGTGTGAAATTTTTCTTTGCAACTTATTTGTGTCTTGCTTAGACCTCTTCCTCCTCTCTTTGATGCAAAACCAAATAATCCTCATTTCACCCACAACTGAGTCTATTAAATATTGCAGATATAAGCTAAATGGGCTCAGTTCATTGAATACAAGCTTCAGCTTAGATAAAAGGGCAGAAATGCTGGTTAGCTGCAAAAAAAAATAAAAATGTCCCACAGTAAGAATGTAGTGGCCTGTTAAAGAAAACCCAGTTTTGCTTTAGGATGTCTTGGTTCATGACGGCTTTTTATTTCAAAACTTCTGTAGTGATGGAAGATCCAAACAACACTTGAGATCAGGACACCCTAGGTGTCCAATAGCAATCCACTCACTAATCCACTACCTGCAGATGCCAAGATCCTATACTTCATCAGTTTGGCATGCCTGAGAAACCTTTCTGACAACACAGGCTCAGTCAGGAGCAAGGACAGATGGGAAGCAGTGGTTGTTCAGGATTAGGCCTCTTATTTTATTTACTTATGTAAGTAGATTCTAAGTGCTTTCATGAGACTTGAAAGCCATGTGTTTTTCACCAGGTCTTCCTACAGTGGCTGTACCTAAGATTTCCACTGTAATTCAAGTTGGCAAAACTCCAGAGCTGAAATTTTTCAAAGCACATACAATACAAAGGGAAATCAAAGATATTAAAAACGAGATAAACTTGCCCAGGAGGTTCTCACGGGATGATTGTAACGCTTTTTCTAGAATAGCTTCTTCTCCAAGATGCACTGAGGAAGATCAAGCAGAGAAAAAGCACAAAAGCCAGTTACATGAAAGAAGCAGATACATGGCAACCTACACTGCCACTTTTTACAACAAATACAGGTGGACATTTCTACCTGGGGTGGAGAGGCCATCATCATTATGATAAGCAATAATGTACAATACTTGCCTCCAAATTTCTTTTCCATCTCTTTCCCAAGTTCAGCACAGCTCTCAAGTCTTTCTTCCTTTGTTTTCATTGCCCAAGTTCTACACATTTCTAGGCAGAGTTTGTAGGATGCACTGTTTCCCCTGTCTTCTTAAAAAGAGAGAGAAGAAGAAAAGGAAAATATGAGAATGCACAACATAAGAATCACCATTTGTAAAAACAGTTCACTAAGAATGCAAGTGCTTGGAATTCTCAGCAGCATTCACTTGCCTGACAATATAGTCAACAATTTCTCAAAGAGTTCCTTAGGATCACTCCCACTTATAGCACACAACTGAAGGTCTAGTAGAAGAAGAGCGGGTTGATAATCTGTGACGGTATCTGAATTGCTCTCTAAGAAAGATAAGATAAAAGTTACATCAGAGTGGAACTTATCGTACCAAATATCTGATTATGCAGTAACTGACACTTGAACTAGTGAAAATGTAGTCCCTGCATTCAGTGGAATCTGCAGAAATCCTGACCTCATTCCTCTTATCCTAAAGAAGGTGTTAAAACTGGTGAGAGGAACCATGTGCCAAAGTGAGTATTTCTGTCTTGACAGTAAAACACCTAACCCTGAGCATTCACATCTGGACAGCTGCACAACCATATGAGGATTCAGGTGGCCTGTCTGTTCATCTTGGAGGAAAAGTTCCATGAAAAAAGGAGAAGGAGCAGAGATATAGTTTGGAGGGAATGGGAATTTTCTAATATACTCCAAATACTGCATTCCCATTTTGAATTTAAAAAAGTCATAAATACATAAAGGAATAAGAAATGTGATGATGATTTGAGAGAAGCCTGGTGTGATTTCTTCCAGTATTACCAACGGAAAACATTTAAACACTGTGGGAAATTCACATTTTGTGTTTCAGTGATTAAAATCTAAATTGTCTAGGTGAATATTTGAATACGGAAGAAGAACAAACAAAAATCAACAAACAAAAAAAAATCCATGAGAAAATTGAGTTTTACAGAAGGAGAAAGAGAGCAGAATAACAGGCCCATGAAAGGTGCCATATTTAATATTTACTTCCTTTTACTTGAAGTCTATTGTCAACCAGCAATGATGGTTAATAAAATATGATTTATCTTCCGCTAATTTTATGTTTGGAAGAACATACGTGCTAACTTGCACTTCTTTCAGGAACTGGAGCCGAGCCAGTTCCTGATCTGGATTTTTGTGTCTAAATCTTAGGTCTAAGTTTTCACACCAAAAGAGCCACAGACACTGGCATACAGACTGCCTCTAGCGGCAGACTTGAGTGTGAGCCAGGTTAGATCTTTCATCTGCTCTGCCATCCTTGCTGTCCCCGAGTTTCCCAGGTGGAAAGATCATCTGTTGTATTACAATCTAGAGCTGGAGCTAACTCACAGACAGTGCGGACAAGCAAGAGGTTTGGACATGAATGCGAGCGTGAGCCTTGATCTGTGTGGTGCAGGCTTCACTTGCACTGCCCAGCCACAGCAGCTGCACAAGAGTGCAGTAACACCATCTTTCCAGAAGCCCATTAGTATATTGCGTCTGACACAAGTGAATCCCTCCAAAATGTCAGGGTGCTTATTGAGACAAGAACGCCTGGGTTTCCTGGTGCCTGGCTGATACTCCTCTCAGTCCCCTAAGGAAAACATGGGGCAAGCAGAAAAGAACGATAAATTTAAAAATTAAAAAAAAAACACCAACCCCCAAACCACAAAATAGTAAAGAAGCACAATAACGCACCAGGTCCACTTGAGAAGACGCCTTTGCATGGGTGAAATATTCTTCGTAGGAACGAGGCAAGACAGTCTTGGAAGAAATAAAAGGAAAATTAAAATAAGAATACCCCTTCTAATAAAATAGTCATTGTCTGACAATGAAAGACATGAGGAAAGCTAGCCATGTACCTAAACATAGATGTTCAGGTTCCTTGGAGGATCTCACCTGCCTTGTGGCTGGCACTCCAGAAGAGTACTAATCTCCTGCCAGTTCTGTTCATCACTCATAGCTCTGTGTTTGATGTCTCAGATACCTGGTGGCATCTCAATCACCTCTGTTATTCCCCCAGTAGTTTCATAGCCTCGTAGGTCAGAGTTTAAGATATAATCTCTAATGCTTCCACATCACAAGGAATCTAGTGTGATGAAAATCACTCCACATTCACTGATATGATATTTAAACTTTCCCCCACAGTACTGTGGGACATTCACCTGACTGAAATTGGACTACTACAGTCCATGCTCATGCTGCCATAGATTTCTGTTCAATGGCAAGGCAATTCTACAGTCTCATCACATCTTTAAGCAGGCATCTAAACGTGACTGTGAAGAGCGCTTGAGAAGTTCTTCTTTCTCACTTATGAGGAGACTTTAAGGTGAGTAACTCAAGTGTTCATAACAATGTTGTAAACTTCTAACATGACATGCAAGAAGCAGTGTTTTATTTTGGCCATTTTCAGAGAAATTCAGTTCAGGTTTGAAGGGATCTCTGGAGATCGGCTAGTCCACCTCCTGTGCTCGAAGCAGAGTCAGGTACAGCAAGTTGCTCAGGGCTATATCCCACTAGGTTTTTAAAAAGCTCCAAGAATGCAGACTCCACAGACTCTTGGAAACCCGTTCCAGTGTTCAACCACACTCACAGTAAAATTTTTTTCTTAGTTTAAATGGAATTTTTTGTATTTGAATTTGTGTTCATTGCCTGTTGTCCTTTCAGTAGTTATTACTGCGAAGAGTCCGTTTCCATCATCTTTGAATCCTCCTATAAGGTATTTATACAAATTGACAGGAATCCCTCCCTGAGTATTCTCCAGGCTGAACAGTCCCAGCTCTCTCAGTCTCTCCTCATCTGAAAGATGATCTAGTTCCTGAATCATCTTTGTGGCCCCTTTCTGAACTTATGGAATCATTGAATCATAGAATATTTTGGGTTGGAAGGGACCTTTAAAGGATATCTAGTCCACCCCTCCCTGCAATGATCAGGGAAATCTTCAAATACATCAGGTTCCTCAGAGCCCCATCCAACCTGATCTTGGATGTTTCCAGGGCTGGGGCAGCTACAGCCTCTCTGGGCAACCTGTGCCAGTGTTTCACTATCCTCATTGTAAAAAAAATAATTCTTCCTTGTATCTAGTCTAAATCTACCCTCTTTTAACTTAAAAACATTACTCCATGTCCTATATCAGCAGGCCCTGCTAAAAAGTTTGTCCCCATCTTTCCTGTAGGCCCCCTTAAATACCAAAAGTCCACAATAAGGTCTCCCCAGAGTCTTGTCTTCTCCAGACTGAACAACAACTCTCTCAGCCTGTCCTCGTAGGATAGGTGTTCCTTCACTCTGATCATTTTTATGGCCCTCCTCTGGACCTGGTCCAAAAGGTCTATATCTGTGCTGAGGGCTCTAGAGCTGGACGCAGTACTCTAGGTGGGGTCTCACTTGAGCGAAGTAGAGGGGCAGAATCAGTTGGCCTTCTGGGCTGTGGGTGAACATTGTTGTCTCATGTCCAGCTTTTCATCCACCAGTACTCTCAAGCCCTTCTCAGCAGGGCTGCTCTCAATCCCTTCATCCTCCAAGTATGTCCACTTGTCATACTGAGAGCCCAGAACCAGACACAGTACTCCAGTATGTCATTGCCAGTGCTGGGTAGAAGGGAAGGATCACCTCCGTCAGCCAGCTGGTGGTGCTCTTCCTAATGCAGCCCAGGATACCATTGGCCTTCTTTGCCACAAGGGAACACTGCAGGCTCATGTTCAATGTCCTGTTCACTAGGACCTCTAGGTCTTGACTGAAAAGCTTCTTTCCAGCTGGTCAGTCCCCAGCATGTCCTGGTGCCATGGTCCTCTCCATGTGCAGGGCTTTGCATTTCCCTTTGTTGAACTTCATGAGGTTACTGTTGGACCATTTCTCCAGCCTGTCAAGATTGCTCTGGATTACCCAACGAGTCTTCCCAGTTTTGTAGTATCTGCAAACCTGTTGAGGGTGCACTTTGTTCCATCATCTGAGTCATTAATGATGATGGTAAAAGCACCAAACCTAGAATTCAGTCCTGTAATACAACACTAGTGCTTGGTCTCCAGCTGAACCTCATGCCACTGATCACAACTCTCTGGGGTCACAAATTCAGGCAGTTTTCAATCCACCCCACTGTCCACTTAGCTAGACCATAATTCCTCAGTTTGTTCATGAGGATCCGATGGGAGACAGTGTCAAAAGCCTTACTGAGAGAGGTGATAAACAACATTTGCTGCTCTCTGTTTGTGTGCCAAGACAGTGATCTCATCGTAGAAGGCTTTCACGTTGGCTAAACATGATTTGCCTTTCACAAATCCATGCTGACTTGTCCTCATTGGCTTCCCATCCTTAATTTGTTTGGAAAGGTCTTCCAGGAGCATTTGCTCATCATCTTCCCAGGGACTGAGGTGTGCCTGGCAGACCTGAGACTTCCCGGATCCTCCTTCCTGCTCTTTCTGAAGACAAGAATGTCATCTTTCTTCCAGTCATCAGAAACCTCCCTCTATTGCCATGATCTTTCAAAGATGATTGGGAGTGGCCTTGCAATGACATCAGCTGGCTCCACCAGCAACTGAGGGTGTATCCCATCAGCTCTCATGGACTTGCATATGTTCAATTTGTTTGCATGTTCCTTAACCTGATGCAATTTGTTTACAGGTTGCCAAGGATAAGAGATTTCCTTTTTCCAGACTTTCCCACTTGTCTCAGGGACCAGGGGTTCCTGAAGGCCAGTCTAAACAGTAAAGTGTGAGGCAAAAGCAGCACTGCGTACCTCAGCCTTTTCCTTGTCCTTTTGCACCAGGACTCCTGCCCCATTCATTAGCATTTTACCTAGTCCTCCTTTTGCTGCTGAGATACCTATGGAAGCCTTTCTTGTTGCCCTTCACATCCCTCACCAGATGTAGTCATGCTTGATACTTCAATTGTCACTTGGAAGTTTCCTTGGTGCCCATGATGAGGAGCAGTGGGGGGGTGATAATCTAAAGGCCACACAAGCAACAGCTATCTCTCCACAAGGTCTCCCAAAGCCAAGCCCTCAACAAACAGCAAACCTCCCTAGACAAGAGATCAGATCAGCAGATGGGAGTGTCTGTCCACTGCAGCATGGAGCCTTTCACTACTATCACTCACCACTTCCTATTGGTGGTCAGGCTCATCTAGCTCTCGTGCTTCATTTGACAGAGCTCTCAGTCCCTCATCTTTTCTGAGCATACTAAATGTATTCCATAATTGCAGATCTTCAGGTGGAGCAAGAGCCTTCCTCCTGGTGCCAGAAGTCACCAGCTACCAGCTTTTGCAATTGTGAGGCTCCACTTCTCAATCGGATACTCACAGAGCGCTCTTTCTTTGATACGGTTGGAATTTTTGCTCTTAAAACTGCACAGTCTTGGATAACTTCTGGACAATCTGTGTCTTGTCATCTCTGATGCTGTGAAGTCTGCTGGCTTCCTCCTACAGATCCTTTACTTTGAGACACAGATCCTCAAGCAGCACGCTTCTCCTGCAAGCTGCAAGACCATCTTCTGCTTCCCCAGCCCCGGCAAAAGGCCACAAGCACTTCCTGCAGCCGGAGACCTGCAGAGCTGCAGCCTCCTTTTGTAATTCCATTTTGATGGAGGTCTCTGACATTACAGCTGACTCCAACAACTGGGGGAGACCGTGCCCTGCAATGTAGAACTCTGATAGCTGAGGGTGTGGATGCTGTCGTCAGCAGAGCTGCTGGCCGCTTTCTGTGTGCCATTCCGTGTGAGCTGCTGTGTAAAATGCTGCATCTGTAGGCTGCCAATGTTAGTTGTATTCTTGGAAGACTTCACATGGGGAAGTATACACTAGGCTGAACAATTCTTCTGCTCTAATTTAACTGTTATTTAAACCTGATGACTATTTCAGTCTTTCATCACAGAATCTGCTTTCACTCTTGCCACTCTGCATAAATGTATTTCAAACCACTATAAGCAATTTTGCTTGGGATTCTGCTGAATGCTGAGAGAAGGGCAAATGGAGTACCAGTGGACATTCTGTTAGTCATAGCTGCATTTCTGTTTGGAACTAGAGGACTGCAGGGATTACTCGAGGGTAATGAGAAGTAAGTGCTCAATTTCAGCAGGTGAAACAACTGATTTGAGTGTATTGACAACAGAAAAAATGTAGTACCTCGTATAAACTTCAGATTTTCTTCCATGCTTCCAATAGCACTCCCCCATAAGCCTGAAACAAAAAATAAAATGTGCTTAAAGTTCTTGCTTTCTAACATTCTCACAAGTTTGCCTTTCAGTAGTCCACTTCTCTCACTTAACTTTCTATTAAAACCAGTAAGACACGTCTAAATTGAAACTCCTTGTCTTCCCTTACTCTCTACTAAAAGGATTATACACCTCCTGAATTTTACTCCCTCTTCCTCCTGCTAGGTATGGACATTTTTGTGGACCAGCTTTTTATGTTACATAAGGCCAGAATCCCATGGAAATCATCAGGCACTCTCACACGGCAGAACTCTTGGTCAAACACTTCCCTGGCCCAGCCTCACACATGAGCCTGGAGGCATAAGTAATATTCATGGATATGTTGTGTTTATTTGCTTTTGTCTTCTGAGAGAATTAATAATATGAATCATCGTGCTGCTGGCTTCCCTCCACCCCACTCCCCCCCACTCCCCTCTCCATAACATGATGCCAAGCATGTGCTTTGAGGAGACTGGGGCTTGGAGTCATTAAACGCAAGATGTGTTTAAGGATGCCAGATATGTTTAGTTGTGTCACAGACAAGTGAAATGAGATTTGCAGCCATACTGCTTAGGTAGGGAATGAAAGAGCTTTGCACCAGGACAGAAACAGAGTGAGACAAATTAGCAAAATAGGAGCTACCAGTCCTCACAGTAGGACGTATCTAATTTGGGAAGCATCTCTCTCTGTAAAGTGAACGTGCTGGCATTATAGAACATTTAGACATCTGGTTTGGGACTATTTTATTAACTTCAGTAGTCTACAGTTTAGGTCTCTATGTTCCCATAACAACCACAGGAGACTGGCAAATGTAGACAGTGGAGCATAGAAAGGTATTTAGATGTTCCAGTTCGAATGTTCAAAGTGAGACAAACCGGTTTCCAGAATTCATGTACTATTACACATGCATTCATGGAATAATAGATGCATTCTTCTTACTTACAGAGAGATATAGAATAGCTAAACCTGTGTTTCTTTCTACAAAGCAGAATTAGGAAGATTCACCTTGCATGTAACAAATGGATTTCTTCTCCCCCTTTGTCTTCAGCTTACCCTCCTCAAATTCACTTCCAAAGTTTTTGGTACTCACAAAAGCACCCACGGCAGTATATCCAGCCTCGTGTGGAGTGAATTCAAACCAAGTCCCTGAGAAAAATCAAACAACTTTGTCACTCCACATTCGGAAGCATAGCTGACCTCAACATCCCAAAGTAGCATTTTGGTTGGTTTTCTTTTCCTTTCTAAAATCACCTGATATTAGCTGCAAAGATGAATTGGCACATGGGGAACAAACTAAGTCATAAGCACACTAGCACCTGCTCTTTGATATGCTCTTGGTAGGTAGCCTTCCTACCCTGGCCTCCAGCTGCCGCACCAGAAAGGTCTTGTTTTCACATGGTCTGTGGGAAATGGTACATATTGAACAGCTCTATGCAGACCTCTCAGATGTGCTAGATATCTCAAGGGCCTCCCAATGCTTATGCACAGGCAACAGAGTCATTCTGGTCATATGACCTGCCTGCCCTAACATTCTTTAGAGTCAATGAAGAGAACAGACAGGGCTTGATTCAAGTTCCCACAGATACATAACCAGGAACCCATGGCAGTGGGGATCTATGGTGAACTGAGTCATTTGCAAGGGGCCGACAGTTATGTCACAGGACTGAAATAACACTCACACACTTTAAAAAAAGTAGGTGAAGAAGGCAGAGCATGGTAAGGAATCTCAGATGGAATCACAGGCCTCTGTGTGAACAACTGAATCAAATCTATTTGCTCCAGAGAGAGATCAATTATTTTAACACGTATAGTATAGAAAATAAAATTTGATAACAATGTGACTGTTATCCTTCACCCACCTGCCTGAACTGCAAAGCCACCTACTCTTTATTTCATAGTCCTTTCCTTGATGACATTTCCTTTCCAGTTCCCAGTTCTCCCAGGATTATCACAATTCCAGAGCATCTTATGCTTTATGAATCAAGTTCCATCTCCTTAAACCAAAGCCTACAGTTGGTAAATTGAAGGAGATGGTCTGTCCTCTGCGCAAGGAGGGGTAGGAGAGACAGTCAGAGTTTTAAATTGCAGTAAGGGGAAAGTCAGTTTAATGGGACAGGGTAAAAGTAGTTGATTGAAAGTAATTTTCTCCATCTGAAGACCTCCCTCACTACTGAAAACGGATAGAGTTGCCTAGTTCAGTTTTAGAAGCACTGGATTATTTTGAAGCTCCACACAGGGGTGACAGATACGATAGAGTTTTACAAGAGATCTGCACACTGCTGAATACTCAGATGGAGGACAAGGAGATCTATGATGGCAGTAAATGCCTGTATTCTGGCTTCTACATTTTGAAGATCTATTTTATTGACATTAATTTAATCTGTTTAGCCTATTCTATTCTAGGGTTGCCTCAGTGCCTCATCTTTTCCTATCACAAAAGGCCCTTTTACAAAAAGTGATTCAGCCCCTGCAAGTGCATGTTTTTCTCCATTATCTATAAACAGCAACATAGGTTGACAAGCTGCAAATGGATGTCAGCATAGTTAATGCCTGCCATTAAGTTAAAGGAACCTATTGCATGGTATTTAAGATACAGTTAGACTAGGAGCCCATATTTTACCTGGAAAGTTTCTACCTTCTTCTTTCAGTTTATCCTTATCCACTGCTGCATAAATTGGGTAAGGGTTTATTCCGGTCTCTGAGGCGTCCTTGTGGTCAGCCAGCTCATTCTTATCAAACTGGAAGATAAGTATGGACTTCTGAAGGAACATAAAATGCCCCTCCCCTCTGCTATAGCACTGAGGACATCCCCACTTAGGAGACTGGATTGACCAAGGAGCTGGATTAACAGCTTCTACCTTTCCATATCTAGAGATAAGATGCCATGCTCTAAAATATTGCTTCAATTTATACAACGCCACAAAAAACCACCCACCAAGGTCAAATTTAGTCTGAGATCTTCAAAACACTCCGAAGGTATTTGCAGTTAGCCTCTTACCTGCTTCAGTATCTGGTATACAACACAGGAGGCCCAGAAGTCAGTGAGTGAATAAAGTTCACCTTTTGATGACTCCTCTAAGTATCCTATTGTTTTCATAAAATCCCAGGATTTACTGAGGCTTTCACACAGTTTCTTTTCCAAGTGTATCACATTTTCTGACCATTTCCTATCTTCATACAGGAAGGACATGCACCTTTTAAAGAGAGAGAAAAGTACTGTCTCTAGCACAGGGGGAAGTGAATGGGGCTTTGTTTTTTTCCCTTGAATCTGCATACAGATATAGCAGTGTCTCTAAAAACATATGGGAGGAGGAAGAAGTCCCAGACTGCTACAGAAGCAAGGCACTTTACATGATAGAAAGGTGTCATTATTCCTTGGTCGCTTACTTCCCAGCTGCATGCTCATGTCATTTAATTCTTTAGATGTTCTGAAGCTGGATCTGAAGCTGGATCACGTAGCTGGCTACGTGCCATATATTATGGGTAAATTGCTGCAGGAGGACAGATTTTGCAGATGGCATTAGTGGGAAAGATGTGAAATCTGCCAAGAGACAAATAATCCATCAAGGAACACGGAACAAGTTAAATGTGCAGAGTGTCATCATGTCATCATTTTGCACTAGAGACTTGTGACTTTTCTTTGTCTGTTATTAGGACCAATAAAGCTGCTACTTTTGCAGAGTGACATCATCTCCTACTAAACTTCCAGCCCTCAGCTTGTGCTAGCTACCTGAAGAGATGTACAGGCTCACTCTGTTCCAAGACCAGCCCCACAGCTTAATTCAGGTATAAATTAAGGTGTACAGCATTAACTTCCTCATCTAGAGCAGCATGTGTGTTGACTCTGTGCAAGGAAGGAGATGTTCTCGATTACTGCAGACACCATATATGGTACCTAAGCACAGACAGTGACAGTTGAGGTGGCCTAAAACTTTCAAGACTTCTGCCTGCATTGGACAGACAATAATATAAGACCTGTGTCAGACGTGTGTCTTCATGAACCAGCTGCTGAAAACCAGACAGGATATCCTCCTAAGGCATCTGAACTGTCACTGGAAGCCTGTCTTTAGAGAACATAAACCTATCCTGTTAAGCACAATGGAAGGAGACCTGTGTATGTCACACAGAGATACATGTATTGAAACGCCAACATTTAGGAGTGCTAGTCTCAGAGTTCTGCTCTTAGAGGGCAGATGTCTGTATGTGACATATAAGCCAGACTCCTTTCACAGTCAATTCAGTGTCATGAACAACCCTGGCATGTCATTGACATGCTGCACGTGGGCCTTAAGGTAAAATGGTTCAAGTTCCTGAATGTCATTTCTTCTCATTGCATAGAAGGTAAGCCTAAAAAAGTAAATGAAGTATATACATTCGAGACCATAATGCCATTTAACCTGCCACAAAGATGAGTGACATCACCACAGATTTGGTAGATTTGATGCAGTACGTGCAGGAGACCCAGTGCTCTTCCAAACTGGTAGGGGGCTGGCAAAGTAAGTACCTGAACTGGCACTAGGTATTTACATTTAGGAACCTGACTCATTCCCGTACACTTGAGAGATGCAGCACAGTGGCCTGGCCCCCTCTGAAATACACCACGGACCCTATTTGAACAAGTCCCTCCTCTTCTGAGTAGGATGTTACCTCGAAGTTTTCAGTGCTTTCCTGGCTACTCCTCATGGCCTGTAAGCAGGGGGAATTGTCTCATCCAGAAGGTAAGACGAAATGGCCAAGTGAGCTCTTTGTTTGAATCACCACTGAGAGACGATAATTTCTTCCTGTCTGGGATGAAAGGTCAGTCTTGCTGAACTGTAGTTCATGTCACAAATATTCCCTGTGTCTCCCACCATTTCACAGGCAAACGTCTCACCTACCACTCGGTTCATCCACTGTGAGCCCAACAGAGAGTTCTGAACAGGGATGAAAGTGTCAAATTGCTGTTGAATCCATGGATCAGGAAAAACGTTCACTATCACAGCAGACAACAGGCACCTACCAGGTGGATCCCGACACCCCACACAGGTACATGACAGCATCCAAGAAATTCCGTTTCTTCAGCTCCACCAAGGTTCCTAGCAGGGCTAGCATGGCACGCAGGCCTCCACCTGACCCCAGAACAACGATATTAGGCACGTCATTCTGGGGAATGGAAGACAGAAAACACATTTCTTTTTGAGCAAAGGCTAAACAAACAGGCAGGGATAAAAGCTATGCAATTCTCACCTGACCTGCTTCCTTGCTTTAGGACACATTCCATAATCTGCCTCTTTTCCCCTATTTTTCTTTTTCCTATACATCACAGTCACAGAATGTGTTCTCCTTTCTATTGTGCTATCACTTGTCTTCCTGGTACTGCAATTTGTTGTGGCTGTGTTTCTGTACTGTAACTTCAAAATATAAATAAACCTTGAGTAGTACTCATTATGATTATCTAGGTGTCATCTCTGTTCCCTTTTTGTCACCAAAAGAGGGTTTTTTTCTCCCAAAAGTGGAAGGTAGGACTATTACAGTCAGACAGAGAAATTTCTCAAGAAACACGTTGTACTGGATCTGGTTGGAAAAGAGTCAACTTTTTTTCACAGCAGCCCATATGGGGCTGTGGTTCAGATTTGTGGCTAGAAAGGTATTGATAACACACCAATGCTTTGACTTGCTGAACAGTTTTCTACAACATCAAGGCTCTCTCTCTTTCCCACTCTGCACTCCAATCCCGGCAAGTAGGCTAGAGGTGGGCAGGGGTTGGGAGAGGGCATAGTTGGGATGGGACAGTTGACCAAAACTAAATAAAGGGATACTCCATACTATATGACATCATGATCAGCAATAGAGGTTCAGAGGAAGGAAGAAAATGAGATGTTTGTGGTTATAGCATTTGTCTTCCCAATTAACTGTTACACATGCTGAGGTCCTGCTTTCCAGGAAGTGACTAACATCTCCCTGGCACAGGGAAGCAGCAAGTAAATCCCTTTGCCTGTACACATATCTTGGCAGTTTTTCATTTTCCTGTTTAACTGTCTTTATTTAGATCCACGACTCTTCTCACCCTCCTTGTACTTTCTCCATGTCACATGGGAGAGGGGAGTCAGCAAGCAGCTCAGTGGGTGTTTGACTGTCGGCCAGTGTCAACCCACTATACATGCCATGAGGATAAAATGAGCATGGAGTCGAAGAAAGATGCACCAGAGTGCACAGAAAGATTAGAGAATGTGTGTGCATGCTTATTAGGATACAGACACATTTAGGTGGTTAACGGTATGCGTCTTCCAAATGGTGCGTATCTATTCATATATGCATGTACATAGAGAGTTATAAAAATATGACTGTATATAAATATATACAAGGGCAAGTAGATTAATTAGTTAATTAACTGATAGATATGGGAATTGCAGCTGGAAATGCCACTGAAAACTCTGTGTCTTGTTCCCTTTTTTGTCCCTGAAGAATTTCTAGCCTGAATCCCTTTCCCAGCAGCAGAGAGAAAGCCTGCGCTGGAAAACTTGACAGATGATGCTTCCTAGGGACAGGGCCGCACTTCAAATGGCAATCTGTATGACATCTCCATCACTGGAGTGTTATCCTTTTTTCCGTATTAGGGCTGTCAGTGCTTACCTGACCACAGGAAATCTCCAAGTTCTTCAAACACATCCGTACTTTTTCTCTTCTCTTCTTAGTGGCATTTATCTCACCTTCTGAGAGATCATGAGACAGACGGACTTCATTGTCATCCTGGCATACAAAGTGAAACACTTTCAGGGTAAGAATATATCCACTGCAAGAAAATCAGTATATGGGATCCATACAGGTGACCCATCATTCTGCAGGCTGGCCAGTGTTATCTCTGAGTCAATACCTAACAGCATCATAAAGAAGATCAGGGAACTAATTTTTTGTATTACACTTTAAATACAGGATGAAAAAGGCAGTGTTTATGACTCTAATAAACAAAGTGAAGAGGAAGGAACACAAACAAAAATTTCAGTTCTTCCAGATTAAAAAGTCCTTAAACTCCTGATTAAGGAAAATAATCCATTTTCTAAAAGGAAACATTGTTTTGCCTGTTAGAGTTTTTTCACAATATTAATGGCAAAACTGATATTTTTTTTTCTTGTTGAAGTGATTTATCAAATCCAGTGAAATTTGCTAGTTGATTTCCTTGATCCAGTGGTGTATTTTTCAGTTAAAAGCAAATGTCTAACTTCAACAAATGTTCACAGTAGCCTAAAGAAATACAGCTTCCCTAGGTGTGTATTATAGATCAAGTATATGCCTGTGGCAGCATTCACCTCATTTAACCTTCAATTTCAGCCTGAAATCCCCTGAACATCCTTAAAGATCAGTGCAGAGCAAGAAGCATTTCCAGAATACCACTCCTAAACCATACTTCAGACACCAAAGAAGTGCCTGTTTAACTCCACTATGAAATGCATTCATCACTACTTCATATCTAGAACTCTATAATGCAGATGTTTAAAGTCAGCTGGGATGAATCCTACCCTGGTTCTGATTCATGTCCTGCAGTATCCTCTTTAGCTATCATCTAGAGAGGAGGGCTGAAATAATTGCAATTAGTCCTTATAAATACTTTGCAGAGTATCATTAGCCTGAAGTACATAGAACATCCATTTTAAAAAACAATCATGAGACAGGTGTCATAGAATGTGGACAAATGCAGCCAGAAGAGGAATTAGGAAACAGAGGGGAAAACCAGGGTAGAAAGAGCATACCTTGGTAGCCATTGAAATGTCTGTCTTTGCTTCCTGGAGACCAAGTGAAAAGGGAATACACGGCAATGTCTTAGCTCAGAGTAACTTTCAAACTGCAAAGAGCTGAATTTATTTTCCTATGACCCTCTTCCAAGGCAAAAAAAAAAAAAAAAAAAAAGAGTTTAAATGGACTGAGTAATCTGAATAATTATCATGTTGTATGATACCATTCATGACCTAAGATTAATGATTTGCAGCCTGATGGCTTTGACTGCTCCACCTTGTCAATATTGCCAATACTGCCATAATTTCCATGCAATGCTAACATATGTATATGAGACATTTGATGCCAAAAGAATTAATAAATATTGTGTATATCCAAAGGCAATCAAATGACCATCTTTAGCCCAAATAGTTACACTACCATTGGCTGTTAGTGCTTTCTTGACTCAATCTGATTTGATAACATACATGAAAAAGCTGTTTCAAGTTAACAGCATTCTGCTTTCCAAGAGGACACTGGGAGCTTCCTGATACAGGCTGGATATTCCTTTGGCCTAACACCCGGCTGTTTATAACCTAACCTCAAGAAACACATAAAGAGTAGTCTTTGGGGTGTGTGCTTGTGTATATATATAAAAAATGGCAATATTCTAGTTCCATGTAAGTGCTGAATGCTAAGTGCAATATTCGTTATGTGCCTGCCTGCTTCTTAATGTCTCCATCAGAATTTAAAAGGCCATTACTAGTATCCAATAGAGGTTTAGTCCCAGTATGGCCATGCTTCAATATTCATTTTATCCTGGTATCGTGACTAATTTTCTGAACTGCAAGTATGGGCCCTCCTTAATAACTGAGGCGGAATACTTTGCCAATCATTATATATCATATTCTATTGATCACAACTCCTGGGATGGCAGCAGTGTAGAACAGCATCCACCTAATCCCTCCTTCCACTATTAGAGATTAGTTTATGACGTAGATTAACTGCTTCCCACTTGTATAGTCTAAAGCACCAGACAGTTATGCAGGTATCTCCTGTTTTATGCCCACAGCCTCAGAAGAGGCCTATGCAGACTAAATCCTGAGTGCTCAGCACAGTGCTTACCACAGTCAATAACTATAAGTGGAAAAAACCATGCAGAATTCAGATAAAGGGAAATTTCCTTTGAGAGGTCTTAAATAACAACATGCTTTTTTTTTTCTCCTTTGATTATGTAAGAAACATAGACATCTCAATGACTGTATGTGAACAAAATAGTTTTCCTGGGATCAGGCATTTCATGAAAAAGTAACAAAAATGGATATATAGGAAGGACAATTAGATGACAGAGTCAGAAATCATGTGAATTTGTGACTTACTTCCGTGTACTAAAAATTCTCCCTAAGATGACATCTATTTATTTCATCTTTACTGTTCCTTCAAAGTTTGCCAAGCTTTAAGTGTTGTGATATAAACTTTAAACATTGTGATGAAAATCACCCTCATCCTCACATTCGTGTTGAGTTTCAAAGTTTTTCACTCTTTCCAGAATTTACAATGATGAGATATAGGTCATATAGGACAACACAGATAGTTTTCCAGTAGGAGGTGGGAGTCCGTAAGCTTTTGTCCACCCTCTAGGATGTGGGAAATAATATTATTAATGCTTACAAATACTTAAAGGGAGGATGCCGGGGGGTAGGAACAGTTTTTTCAGTGGTGCCCAGTGTTAGGACAAGAGGTAATGGGCACAAACTTGAACATAGGAAGTTCCATCTTAACATGAGGAGGAACTTCGTTACTTTGAGGGTAGTGGAGCACTGGAACAGGCTGCCCAGAGAGGTTGTGGAGTCTCCCACTCTGGAGACATTCAAAAGCCGCCTGGACGCTGTCCTGTGCAACCTGTTGTAGGTGACCCTGCTCTGGCAGGGGGGTTGGACTAGATGATCTCCAGAGGTCCCTTTCAACCCTGGCCGTTCTGTGATTCTGTGTGATGATGTGATTTATGCCACCTCAACAGAGTGTCGCTTATGACCTTTAATAATTGCATGGATTTCAAAGAATTTTGGCTGAATTTTCTAATGAGATTTCCTTGGAACTGCCCCTGTTGAGTTGGAAGGAAAGAAATTAAACAGTTATGTAGCATTGCGTTTTCATGATACCACATATGAAACAGATTTTCGTCATTAGCGCGTATATGCATACCAGGCTATTAACAGAGAGCTGGTGAACAGGCGTATCCTACTGTCGTGCTTAGTGCCAAACCGGCCACTGGGCAGAACGACAGATGCTCTCCCCTACCTTTCTTCAAAGAGGGGCAGGAGAGAGGGAGACTTATGTGTTTAGAAAGAACTAAACTCCTTTAATGAAATATTAATAATAAAATAAAAAGGAAACAATTAAATATATACAAAACTGTATCAAGCTCCCAGGATGACAATCACGTCACTGGCTGGCACTGGGAAAGTCCCAGACTGGACTCAGTGACACATGGGAACTGGATTCTGGATCTGCATTCAGGATAGGGATCAAAGGCAGATAAACAGAGTCCTCCTTGGACGCAGCCATTGAAGACAGCGAGCTGACCCTTTGACCCTTTCTTTCTCTTACACTGAGAACTCAGTTTTATTGGATCATTCCATCAAAGAACAGATAAATGAATTCATGACCATCTTCTTTATCTCTCCATGCATAAGAAGTTTGGTGCAGTTATGGTATTCTCTTCTCTTTGTTTCTATGGCCACAATGTTCTAGACTAAAACATTCATTCTTCTAACGCTCACTCAGATGTGGTTTCTCTTTTTCCTCTCAAGATTTGCAATGTATTGCTTTCTACAGATGTGCATCCAAGTGAAACTGAGGAATGTATTTTGGGAACACCAGGAGCTTTTCCAGTGGCTTAGAAATCCCAATATGTTCTTGCTGTGACATTTTATTTTACTGTTTAATTGCAAAAACTTAGCAAGATTCAGACTGGGCAGAAAACGGATCAAGATCAGTCCTGAGGAGAAGGACTTGGGGCTGTTGGTTTATGGGAAGCTCAACATGACGCAGCAATATGCACTTGCAGCCCAAAAGGCCAACCGCATCCTTGGCTGCATCCAAAGAAGCGTGGCCAGCAGGTCAAGGGAGGGGATTCTACCCCTCTGCTCTGCTCTCGTGAGACCCCACCTTGAGTACTGAGTCCAGCTTTGGAGTCCCCAGCGCAAGAAGGGCACAGACATGTTGGAGCGGCTCCAGAGGAGGACCTCCCCTCTGGGGAGGATCAGGGGGCTGGAGCACCTTTCCTATGAGGACAGGCTCAGAGGGTTGGGGTTGTTCAGCCTGGAGAAGAGAAGACTCAGGGGAGACCTTAGACCAGCCTTCCAGTATCTGAAGGGTGCCTACAAGAAAACTGGATAAGGACTTTTTGCAAAGGCATGTAGTGATAGGATGAGGGGTAATGGCTTCAGACTGGAAAAGGGGAGATTTAGAACAGATATTAAGACAAAAATTTTTACTATGAAGGTGGTGAGGCACTGGAACATGTTGCCCAGGGAAATTGTGGCTGCCCATGTCATGAAGTGTTCAAGGCCAGGCTTAATGGGGCCTTGAGCAACCTGGTCTAGTTAGAAGTGTCCATGACCATGACCACGGCGGATGGGTTGGAACTAGATGATCTTTAAGGTCCCTTCCAACATAAACCATTCTATGATTCTATGATAGAGAAAGGCTCACGATGGCAATTTATGTCTAAAACCAGAGCCATTTGGCTCAGTCCCTGTCATTTACCCTTTAGGAATCATGGTCCCCTTACCTTCCAGATAGACGATGAAGTCATAATGCATTCTTTGGACCTTATCAGAGGAATCCAGTTCAATTAAAATGTCATCTGTATGTTGATATACGATCACTCCTAGTTTCAGTGGGTTTTGTTCTAATTCCTGAGCTAAATCCTGATTTAATGATGCAGAGCTATGTCTGAATCCTTGAAGTAATTTGGTAAAAGTGTACTGAATTCCACCCCAAGTGAATCTTTCTTGACCTTCAGGTTTTAAGGG